ATTATGTATTGCAATATTTGTAATACATAATGCGATACGAATTAGACTTCAAATCTCAATGTTTTTTATATGAAAATGTTCAACTATGCATTATACACTTGGGTCTGGTATTAGTTTGTACATAAATGCAAATAATAAGATTTACAAACGCAAAAACGGTATCCGACTCTGTCGGTAAACCAGACCACTCCAGCATCCCCTTAAATGATTTAAACGGGAAATAACAGAAACGTAATCAATTTCCTGACGTATTTTCCCGCTTCATAATCTAATATATTCCGTTCCGCAATTTAATCCGTATTCTCTCCCGAGATCTTGTTATTTATCTCAAGTATGCAACGAGAGACTATTTCGGGACACACTTTAAATAACCCTTCCCGTACGGCTCGCTTAATGGAGAGAAAGAGTACGTCTTCCACCCGATACATCCAAGTTGAACGCTTGCAAAGACGCGTAAGCGACTCCCGTCTCACGATGATCGACAAGTTTCCGAAAGCCCGTGTATCCGCGCCCCGCTCATTTATCCCGCGCCGTGCCGTCGCAACGATCCCGAGCCGCACGGCGGAAGAGCCGTCGTTGCGCAATCTCCGCAATCGCGCCGTGTTCCGCACCGAGATACCGGCGTCGCGCGCGCGAATGACAATTCCCGCCTGTAAATCCCCCGCGTCATCCCCAGGTGTGTGTTCTCGTTTGCAGGCGAAGGATGAGGTGGACCCGTTCTACGCGGGCTGCCACACCACGAAGAACTGCTTCGGCGCGCCCGCGGGCTGCGTGAAGACCAAGGACTGCGTCGCCGTGGTGGCCGTCGTCGTGCAGGGCGACGAGTATCATTTCGAGATGCAGGCGCGGAGGGACGCCAAATACGTCGCCGTCGGCCTGTCGGACGATAAGAATATGGTAATTGCGGGGACGCCCGGCGCGCGGCTTCTTCTCAAACTCTCGCGGCCGCGACTTAAGCGGAAACTTGCATAATCCCCGCCAAAGTATTTTATATTAAGTGCGTGAAGTTACTTCGCGCTGCCGTTTTTTACCGGTCCCTCCGCGAGAGACTTCTATTATCCCGCTGCAATATTTGCCCGCGCCTTTCAGTACCTTCTCCCGGCGTAATTGCTTTTGAAAAAGGATGTTATTAAAATCCCGCCTTGGGATTTCGAGTGCCGTTGTACCGTTTCCTTCGAGAGACCCTGATGCACGGTGTATTCGGAATAATTTGATGATTCTTGCGTGTATTAGTCTTTAATTAAGTTAACGCGCGTTTGAATTTTCATTACGCAGGCGCGACTGGACTGGCTCCTTTGTCGCGCAGGATGGTTTACCGAGCGTGCAACATTTACGTTTTGTCAATTAACGGCGTTATCTTTGTCGGAGCTAACGTTGACGTATTTGCAACTAATTACGCGCGCAATTTACGGGATCGGCAATTAAGTGGTAACGGTTTAAAATTATAATACGCGAAATGGCGCGCAGGGCGAGGACAGCGTGGTCGAGTGCACGAACGAGAATGGCGAGATTGCGTTACACACGTCTTGGAATTCCGGGAAGCGCAACACGCGCTACAGGATGGTGAGTATCGCTTACTATGCCGCGCCCGCCCTCCGACTAGATGCACTGTTGTATTAATTAATTCGCCCTGTGCTCTGTCGCGCGCAGGACACCGGGCAACGAGTCTGGCCCATTAAATCCCAATTATTGCGCTAGCCGTAGCCGGCGGTGTCGCGTCCGCCGTGATAACGCAGTAAATCTTTAAGCCCTACAAATAATTGCGAAGCTCATACAAGGGGCATTTCCGCCGCCGGTTAGAAGCTCGCTCATTAACAGTCCGACCTCAAATCTTACCGCGTGTCATCCGTTGGAAATAGCATATTAACGCACCGGCGTCTAATTCAACAGAATTTTACCAGAGTTTGAATCTAAAGTTTAATTAACGTCGTGAAATTTTAATGCCGTTATACAAACGGAGGCTGAGAATCGATTGTAAACTGATCGACGAGTATTCCCAGATACGATTCATTTTAAAATTTATTTCAGGTGTACCGTGATGGACAGAAATGGTTGCGACACTTCTTCTTAGTGAATTTAGGAACGTGCATTTAGATTCAGGGTCACGTTCCAAAATCTCCTTCTCCGAGGAATTTTACTCGATTGATATTTCCAAATTTTGAGATTTCAATCTATTTCTCGATAAAATTTTCCTCAGGGCAAATGTTTAGGAACGTAAACCTGAATCTAAATGCACTTTCCTAAACTCATCTAAAGAATAGTGTTGCAACTATTACTGTACAGTGATGGACAGAGTGGCTGCGACCCGAGGAATTTTGCTTGACGTCTATTTCGAAATTTTGAGATTTTAGTCTATTTCTTGACCAAATTTTCCCCAGGAAAAATATTTTGGAACATAAACCTGAATCTAAATGTACATTCCTGAACTCGTTAAAAAAAATGGGGTCGCGACCATTCTGTCCATCACTGTACGTCGCGAATTACTCTGACTCACAATCAGTTCTCGCGCTTCGCGTCTAAATTGTTGACCTTGTTCGATTCGTTCGCAGTCGGAAGGCGCGGTCGAGCTGGAGAATTCCGCGATCAGAAATGACATGATATACTGCAAGTTCCGACGGCAAAAGCTCACCAACATTCAGGGACGTACGTATGACCTTGTCAATACTGCGTACCATCTCCTCGTGGCCGCCGGCAGTGACCTGAGACGTACGTATAGTATAAAATACACAATTTCAACGTTAGTAAAATTTCTCGGGAGATCGTAATTGTTGCGCTAATTGCTAATGTATATCGGGGAGACAGGTTTTATGACTCAATGATCGCGGTAATGCCAGATTTATCACGTAACGATTTGCCGTCGCAACTTCTTTAAACAACGAGAGAAGAAACCTTGGCGGGACTTCGCCAAGTTCCCGTGTATTTTCGCCGTGAGCAAAGTGCGAGCAAGAACTTTACGACTTTCTCGTCGCAGGCTGCGATAACTGCAAATTTGATAGCTTCCTTACGTTTCTGCCCGAACGAGCGGGAACATGAATGAAATGCGATTCAGGCAGATTGGTTTCTGGAATTCTTATTGGCGCGATTATTGGCTTGATTAAAAGTAATGTTATACAACGTGTCCGCAGATGTGGGAAGTTTGCTTTCTACTTTTATGCAAGCGATTTACAGACTTATATCGCGCTGCCTCTTTTTTTTTTTTAGCAAACGGCGTTGACTTTCACAATCTTGTCTATCTCGGGACCAGCGCCTCAAAGAGATTGTCTGACGTCGGGGAATGGACCGCGGCCACTGACCTACTAATTCGTCTTCATGGCGCGCTTATGCTGGCATCGTGGATCGGCACGGCCTCCATCGGGATGCTACTCGCGAGATATTACAGACAGACCTGGGTCAACTCTCAGTTGTGTGGAAAGGATCACTGGTTTGCTGTAAGCGAGGAGTTTTCAGACGATCGCGCGGATCCATTTCTCGTACTCTCATTGTAAAATTATACAATGCTTTTATACCCATAGGGCGTAAAATAAAAATGCCACTATTATTAATCTTCCACTAATTAACCTAATTAACTTCTGCTTTTCGTAACAAATATCTAGTAATTTTGTACGAAAAAGAATTTATTTTAAATAAATTCGTAATGAACTCTTTACGTTTATTCCGTAAATTTTGATTATTCAAAATTTGAATGCGTAATATATTTTTCAACGTATTATTTTTTTTCGTTATTTTATGCATATTCAATTTTAAATCACTTTCGCGCTACCATTTATTAATAAACTAGAAATCTCATTAATTAAGTTTTTCATTAGAGAGAAAAAAGTTATTTTTATTTCAGATATATAAATAGAATTTAATATAATAGTTTACAAAATAAAATAATTTACGGATAAAATAATTCACAAAAATTGCATGCTATTGTCCTTTATAAATTTTGAATATTCATTCCTTTATGTTTTATTTATATGTGTGTGGAATTTTGCAACAATAGTAATTTAAGTAGTGCAAAAGCTGAACAATCACTATTTCATTTCCTCATTCGTATTGTCACCACGTTTTATCGTAATACTTTCTGCGCGGCATTAACTTCACGTTGTTTCTTAGCATCGTTAACGAAAATATTAGAATTCCCCATTCCTCGTTCAAAGTATACGTTATTAATGCTCAAATCGCAAAAAAGAAAGCGCTCCACATCGTTTTTCTCGCGCGTCTTTCTTTGTAATAAAGGCTTATCAAATTTTTCCCTCAAGTGGCACAGGTTCTTTATGGTACTCACGTGGTCGATGACGATCGGGGCCTTCGTGATAATATTCGTGGAACTGGGCACGTGGAGTTCCGAGACCATACACGCCTCGGTCGGCCTGGCGACCACGATTCTGTGCTTTATCCAGCCTTTCATGGCAGCTATGAGACCACATCCTGGCGCACCACGAAGAGCCCTTTTCAATTGGGCTCACTGGTTCGTCGGTAACGTGGCAAAAATATGCGCGTGTAAGTTTATAAACATAACAGCAAAATAAACTTGGATTTTCAGCCTTTGATGTTACATTTTCTTCAATGATTGTTATATTAAGATCTTTTTTTAGTCTAATACTCTTTGTTCTTGTAGTTTCTTTATAGCCAAAAATTATTAGAAAAATAAATAAAATCTCTTGTTCGCTTTCGCATATTGTTTGGTATGAGATAAAAGATAGTGCGATATTAATTATCTTTTTTTCCCCCAATATCTGTGGGATAAATCAATATTTTAGGATTAATTCTCGATAAAAAAAAATTCTTTTAGTAATCGCGCTTTTCTTCGCGGTACGACTGAACAAGGCTAAACTTCCGGATTGGGTCGACTGGGTCCTCACTGCATTCGTGGTCTTCCATGTTCTAACTCACCTCGTCCTCACGGTAAGGATTTGTATTTCTCAAGTTTACGCGAAAAAGACTGTGACAATCTTGAGTAGTTTGAGAGAATCGCGAAAAAAATTTGACAACAATCACAACTTTGATTTTGATCTAAATCAAATCAATTAATGATGTGTAACTCTTTTAGATCATTTTCACATTTGCTTAGAAAATGGAAATCGCGTATAAATAGATTTTTATGCAATGTCTTGGGAAAGAACGTGTAATCTGACATTTAGCGGAATTTGTGTCAATGTCGAATAACAATCGCTTTAATTCTGATTACGGTTGTATTTGTGACACTTTTGCTCCTATTACAGTTCCTTGGATGTGCCTCCGACAGACAAGCCAGTCAGAGAGTGAATTCATTCCCGATGAAAGACATGCATTCTCGTGGATCAATGGTGCATCCAGATGCGAGACGAGACGCTCCCGTAAGATCTTCTAAAATAAGAGTGACGTGATCGCGCCGTCTTCCAACGCGTGTCGAGCCGCCGTCAGGCATTAATAAAGTTGACAATGAGATATAGATAAACGAAAGAAATAGCATTGTTAGCGATCGTTGCATTGTTTAAATATGTTCCTTATAAATAATATAAAGTTGAACAATAATAACGGCAACGCTCGCATTCTTCTATAACATAGTGAAAAGCGCACTCCACGTGCTAAAAAAAAAACGATTGATCGATCGATATCTTATAAATGCATAGATGAGATCAGTGCACATGTGTTTATAAATAATATTACTCGAATACGTTTAAAGAATTCGAGTTGTTTTGATTAAAATCGAAAATTGCAAGAAAATTCGAAGAATATTTGTAACAGATAAATATCTGATCTTTCGCGTAAATTTGCCGCAAATTGTAGAAATCGATGCTAGGGAACGGTATCACGTCAAGAGGTAATTCAGCGCACAAGCGAACACGCAAATAAAGTCTCATTTTGAATATTTTTCCGACAGCACTCCGGTGTTCGGAAGTTCATTTTCGGCGTGTACTTTGTGGTCGTCGTCGTGTTCGCCGCAGTCCTCATAGTGATCACCGTGTTGGCGCCCATCGAGGAAACGTGGGCCACCTTCACCAACACTATCTCGAATTATTAAGGCCGCTAATCAACGCCATGGAAGTATTCGTCACCCATCGTGCGATAGTCGGAAGGTCCCGACCGGATGGGGAACGTCGCAGCCGTCCCAGTGACGATATATTCCCGGCGCGACTTTCCGTATGCAAATTAACACGAGGAACGTATAAATCCTGCTCGTGTAAAGATGCAAATCGCGCCACGACAATGCGCGAAGACGAACATATCACTAACGATTGTTTTTATATTCCTTTTCTAGGTCTCTCCGGAAAATTCGTCAATTTTCATTTTGACTACGTATCGATATATCATAGTAGAAGTACGTTTCTGTATATATAACATTTTTTATTTACTTTGTGGAAAGATGTTAAGCTTAATGCCTACATTATTGCTTCATTATTATCAAACCAATATTCTGAGACGCAGAGTTTTTACCGTCTTACTGTTGATATACTGATCGATTTGATTCTAACATGTTTTTTTCTAGAAAACTGCCATCGGTCTAATTAAATCAAAGCATGACTGGATTTTTAAAAATTGTATTTTTTAAGATTTTATCGTATAAAGGTTATCTTTAGATGCCAATTGTCCGATATTTTGTATCCTTCTATGGATAATACTAATGTACACTGTATGACAGCGATGAGCGCAATTGACATTACTATACGTAAATGACACATTCTTACGATGGACTTCTTATCGAAGTCTGGTTTGTGTAATAGTTATTATGATATTAACGTTCTAAATACATTCCGACAAATGTAAGTCATTTACGACGTTTTGTAGTAAATTTTTGCATTTATAAACTTGCCTATATACAATAATGTAGTCTTCACTAACTCGCGATATATGCAATAATAATACAATAAACATAAAGATATTATAAATTTAGAGGAAAGTCCCCCATTATGAAATAGGCTCTTGACATAGGCACCGTAGTTTTCCGGTAAATTAATAGACATCGTGAATTTATTGTCCTCGAAGTGAAATCTGTTTAGCAGAAAATTGATTGTTAGGTCGTGTAATCGTTGCGAAAAAAGATTTGCGAATGAATTTGGGCGTTGGAAACCTGCTGCCTCATATTAGAATCCTATCCCATAACAGAGGACTCTCCTCTACTTTACAAAAATATAATATAAACTCATAAACACTCATCAGTTCACGTAAATATTATAGTTATACATATACTAAGATATATACTGAGAAAGAACGAAATTATTTTTGAACGTTCACAAGGTAAAAATATTAAGCGTTTATATTTATATTACAGTAACATTGATATGAATTAAAGGGGACGAATATGACAATCAATTCCTTCCATTATTTTGCGCGAATATCGTTCGTTAAAATTTTGCAACTCTATCCTTTAGTTTTGCGTTCCTTCTTTTAACAATGCCACCGAGGAATCACGTTAATGTTGTTTTAATCTGAATGCAAGTTCAATTTTCATTCTCCCTTTCAATTGGAAAATTTGAAAAAGATCGCTGAAAACGCACGAGACCTTTTGTAAGATTTATACCAGCCATTTAACGATCGCAGCTATATCACGAAGCTCCGACGGTTTCTTACGCGAAAATAGTACTCTTTTCTGTACTCTCTCTTACATTATATTTATAGTCTAATCATACAGTATTAGTTCTTTTTTCAAATATTTTTCGAACTTTGTAAACTTTTTAATACTTATTGCGTCACGTCGCCTCTGTGATCGATTGCGATCGGCATTGCTAACAGTACATAACATTGTTAACCTTATTGATTGTTAATAAATATATACATATACATATACGTATATATGGACTCTGGATTCTATGGCCATAAGATGGATTACGGTCAAGTTTATTATGTTCCGAAAGTAAATTGATATCCCAGCAATATATAATACACGGAGTGTTCATGAAAAGCGCCCCAGCAAA